GAAGATCTCTCTGCCTGTCCTTCTCTTCCTTTTTGGAAATAGATGGTGAATACTCCTACCAAAAGCCCTCCTCCTTCTGTGATTGAATGGTATCTCAGCTGGCCTCTCATCCATGGGGAGGGCTGTTCCTGAGACTCCAAGCAGGGAAGAGAGAGTAGCATGGCAGAGTGGTACGCATGTGTGGGTAAGGGAGAGCGTGTGAGGCTGGAGGGAGGCACACATCAGCGAGTGCCTTTAAGGCAGTGTTTCTCAACCTGGGGGTCGGGACCCCTGGGGGGTCGCGAGAGGGTGCGAGGGGTTGCCGAAGACCATCAGAAAACACAGTATTTTCTCTTGGTCATCTGGGTTATGTGTGCAAAGTTAGGTCCAGTTCTATTGTTGGTGGGGTTCAGAATGCTCTTTGATTGTAGGTGAACTATAAATCCCAGCAACTACAACTCCCAAGGTCTATTTTCCCCAAACTCCACTAGTATTCACATTTGGGCATATTGAGTATTTGTGCCAAATTTGGTCCAGATCCATCATTGTTTGAGTCCACAGATGTAGATGAACTACAACTCCCAGACTCAAGTTCCATGCTCACCAAACCCTGCTAGTGTTTTCTGATGGTCATGGGAGTCCTGTGTGCCACGATTGGTTCAGTTCCATCATTGCGGATATCAAAATGCTCTTTGATTGTAGATGAACTATAAATCCCAGCAAGTACAACTCTCAAATGATAAAACCAGTCCCACCCCCCAACCCCACTAATATTCAAATTTGGGCATATTGGGTATTTGTGCCAAATTTGGTCCAGTGAATTAAAACACATCCTGCATATCGGATATTTACATTAAGATTCATAACAGTAGCAAAATTACATTTATGAAGTAACAATGAAAATAATTTTATGGTTGGGGGTCACCACAACATGAGGTACTGTATCAAGGGGTCGCGGCATTAGGAAGGTTGAGAACCAATGCTTTAAGGCATAGGAGTTCTGTGTGGGAAGTTTGGCACAATTCTACTGCTGGTGGGGTTCAGAATGCTCTTTGATTGCGAGTGAACTATAAATCCCAGCAACTACAGCTTTAAAATGTCAAGATCTATTTTCCCCAAACTCAACCAGTTTTCACATTTGGGCATATTGAGTGTTTACGCCAAGTTTGGTCCAGATCCATCATTGTTTGAGTCCACTGTGGACGTAGGTGAACTACAACACCAAAACTCAAGGTCCATGCCCATCAAACCATTCCAGTACATTTTCTGTTGATCATGGGAGTTCTGTGTGCCAAGTTTGGTTCAATTCTATCATTGGTGAAGTTCAGGATGCTCTTTGATTGTAGGTGAATTATAAATCCCAGCAACTATAACTCCCAAATGACAAAATCAATCCCACCCTGTTCCAAACCCCACCAGTATTAAAATTTGGGCGTATGGGGTATTTGTGCCAAATTTGGTCAGGTGAGTGAAAATACATCCTGCGTATCAGAAATTTACATGACAATTCATAACAGTTGCAAAATTACAGTTGTGAAGTAGCAACAAAAATAACGTTATGGTTGGGGGTCAACACAACATAAGGAACTGTATTAAGGGGTCACGGCATTAGGAAGGTTGAGAACCCCTCATTTAGAGGATAGTTCAGGCTCTGATCTGTAACAACTTCTGCTGTTATATGTTCATTCATGACGTTTTTAATGACGCAGGAGCCAAAGCTTTTTGACCCATCCTCGTGTATGTATGCGCCTATATATATATGTGTGTGTGTTTTTGTGTGTGTTGATTTTAAGACACACACTAATTTCAGTACCACCAACACCATAGATAGATAGATAGATAGATAGATAGATAGATAGATAGATAGATATAGATATAGATATAGATATAGATATAGATATAGATATAGATATAGATATATTATAAAGGTAAAGGTTTTCCCCTGACATTAAGTCCAGTCGTGTCCGACTCTGGGGGTTGGTGCTCATCTCCATTTCTAAGCTGAAGAGCCGGCATTGTCCGTAGACACCTCCAAGGTCATGTGGCATGCATGACTGCATGGAGTGCCATATAGTGTTGGTGGTACTGAAATTAGTGTGCGTCTTAAAATCGACAGCATCTTAGAATCAAAATATGGCAGTAGTAGTAGTAGTAGTAGTAGTAGTAGTAGTAGTAAAGGGAACCGGTCAACCTGCCTCACTAGTGCTTGGGATGACTGAACAAGATAAGGTCTGTTCCATACTCCATTATCTGTTCCCTGTTGCTCATTTGTGTGTGTGTTTTGATATTTTGAGGTCAACTTAGACCTTATCCTCAGAAAGATGAATGGTGATCCCATTGGTGACCAGTTCCGGGCATGGGATACCAATGAAACCCAAATAGGGGACTATTTGGGTGGTCACGGGCCTTTGGGGTTGTTGTTTTGGTGGGGGAGATCCTTCGGAAAGGCTACCGCACGCCGGGAGCGCTTGGAGTGAACCTCGCTGTGCTCTGGTGAGCCTTCACGCCCGTCACTTCTACTCAGCGTCCCCCCAACATGCGCGGCCCGCTCCTCCCTCTTCTTGACTGACATAAAAATATGTAGCGACAAGCTGTCTGCCACAGCAGAAATCTGATCAGACATTGATTTCAGCAATTGCCTCAATGGGCTGAGACAGAAGGCGAATTTGTTTCTGAGCGCCGTTCTTGCTGATGCAGGTCTAATGCGTCGGAGATGGGGAGAGCCGCATCCGCAAAGCTGGCTGGAGGGCCGTGATGTTGGGGGAAGAGTTTTGGGGCTGAGACACTTTGTCTTATGGGTAATTGGAAAATCAAATCGGGGGCTCACTGCCTCTCTTCCTGCTCTTGCCTCTTCTCCTCCAAGACGCTTGCGGTTGGTTGGAGGGCCGCTCAGGCCTTGTCTCAACCGGCCTCCTCTAAATGGCTCTGACATATGCCCAGAAGGGAGACTTTTGAAAATGAAATTAAGATCCAACCGCTTCTCTTCCCTTTTCCCTTCCTTGTTTTCCCCCCTTAAGAGAATCACGTTGCTGAAAAAGCCCAAGAGTCACGGAAGGAGTACCGGGCCTTGAGTCCTATGGGTCACAATGCCGTGAAGGCATCTCCCTCAGCTTCCCAAAGAGTCATGCCTAGAGCAGGTCAAAGCGTGGGCTTTCTTAAGGGGAACATGCCTGAACACCTTTCGGAGTTTATGTGCCTAAGGTTCCAACCAGAAACTATTCTTCTCCAAGCTAGTGATTGTAGTAGTTGACTACTCTTTCCTATTTCCATTTTGGAGTGGGGAAAACATAGTCCTGTCTTTGCAAATGCAAACACAATGAGCTATCTTATATAAGAGACCGAAGTATCTACATGACATCCATTTATGTTTCATATACATTTATCCTGAGACTCACATTATAGACACATTTTAAAAAATATTTTGTGTATGAGAGAAAGTTTGTTTACATTGAGTTAGCAAATATCTGTGGACAATTTTGATCTTGGAGTGTTTTGGATGAGGGATGGTCAACCTGTATTTTAATTGGAAGTATAGTTTGATACTTTTTTCCACCGGTGTGCTCCGTATTGTTTTAGATCAGTGGTTCCCAACCTGTGGTCCGTGGATGACCAGTGGTCCTCAAGAACCAAAATATGGTCCATGGCCTCACCATTACTGCATCATTGCCTTGAAACCACACGATAACGAGAGTGACTGGTCTTGTGAATCTCTCTTATGAGGCAACGGGGATGTCAGGAGGGGAGAGGAGGACTACCCACAAAAGATTACTACTGCCACATCAGCTCTAGATTATTAAATATGGTTTTCTGTGAGCAAGCAGATGGCGACTACTGGATGGCATATGTTCTGCGTCAGAAACTAGCACTGATGTGGTCTATCCAATGCAGTTTTCTTAATCAGCACCACAAATAACCAAACTGAATCTAAAGTTGACCAAAAACTGATTTGTTCACTGGTCAAGTGGTCCCTTGTCAAGTGTTTCCTGGTCAAAATGATACCTTGACAAGTGGTACCTGTTCAAGTGGTCCCTGGGCAAAGTGGTCCCTGGTCAAAGTGGTCCCAGTGCAAGTGGTCCCCGAGCAAAGTTGTCCCTGGTCAAATGGTCCCTGTTCAAGTGGTCTCTGTTCAAGTGGTCCCTGGTCAAAGTGGTCCCTGGTCAAGTGGTCCGTGTGCAAGTGGTCCCTGGTCAAAGTGGTTCCTGGTCAAAGTGGTCCCCAAGCAAAGTTGTCCTGTTCAAGTGGTCTCTGTTCAAGTGCGCCCTGGTCAAAGTAGTCCCTGGTCAAGTGGTCCCTGTGCAAGTGGTCCCTGAGCAAAGTGGTTCCTGGTCAAAGTGATCCCTGGTCAAGTGGTCCCAGGCCAAAGTGGTCTCTGGTCAAGTGATCCCTGGGCAAAGTGGTCCCTGGGCAAAGTGGTCTCTGTTCAAGTGGTCCCTGTGCAAGTGGTCCCTGAGCAAAGTTGTCCCTGGTCAAGTGGTCCCAGGCCAAAGTGTCTCTGTTCAAGTGGTCCCTGGTCAAGTGGTCCATGAGTAGGTGGTCTCTGGTCAAAGTGGTCCCTGGTCAAGTGGCCCCTGGTCAAAGTGGTTCCTCATCAGAGTGGTTCCTGGTGAAAAAGGTTAGGAACCACTGTTTTAGATGATGAAAAGCTTTATTGCAGTCCAAAGACACAAAAACCCTCAATAGTCAAAGATACACAAAGTGTGTACCAGTTAATAACTGATTGAAACTGATTGAAATGCACCGGTTTGCTCTGCATTGCTTTATATATAGGTTTATATTGCAAGCCATTTGAGTCTCATTTGGAGAAAAGTGAGACATGGATCCAATAAATAGATAGTGGTAGTTGGAGCCTCCATCACGACCCAAAAATAAAATATGCGGATGTTAAATGGACTTATCTTTCCTTATGACGCTAGCAAAGATGCTAGACCAGCCCAGCTGAAGTCAAGAACTGTTGAAGCTAGCGATTGTAGTAGTTGACAAGTCTTTTCAATGCCATGTTGTCGTCTTTTTCTCCTCTTCAGGCAAATGGAGGCTGGCAAGATGCGACCACTCCATCTTCTGTGACCTCTCCAACAGAAGGCCCGGGAAGCGTGCATTCAGACACCTCTAACTAACCCCTTCCTGACACTTTTTGTCTCATTCTCCTGAAGCTGGGAGGCCTTTGTCTCGTGGGTTTGGATTCCCCGAAGGAAAACAAGGAAACCATGACATAAAATAAAGGATTTTCTCTTCTTCTTTGTTTTGGATAGCCTACCATGGATGGCTTTACTGTAAACCTTGTTGTACCAGAGAACTCGATGACTCTGTTGCGTGTGTGTGTTCTTTTTTTTTTTTACATATATATATATTTTATGTTAAAGATCTCTTAATCATTTGTATATGTCCTTAAATATCACAAAGAGGCGCACACTCACACACAACGTTCAAGAAGAATAAAACAACCAAGCACTTTATCCAGCTAGGCCACAATTTAACATTGTTTGTAGCCCCAGAAGTATTTGATGAAGAATAAGTTATTATCAACGGGCTTCAGAAGGAGGGCCAACATGCCATTGACTTCTTGGTTTCACAGAAGACGTCATGGTAGGGTCCTCATACCTAACTGAACCCCCATTTCAATTTGGATTTCAGAACCCAATCCGTTTTTTAATTTTCCACATCTCCTTTCTCCTCATATTGACAACCGTTGACTTTTCCAGGCTTCCATGATTCATCATTTGTTGGGATCCACTGTCTTATCAAAGCTACTTAGACCTAGGGTCCTCCAACTTTGAGTTTTGGACATCAGCTCCCAGTAGCCTTGGCCAACCATCAATGATGTTGGCCAACGCTACTGAGAACCAGGGTCTACAACTATCTAGAGGTCCAAAGCCCAGAATCTGTTAATTCAGCAATGTTCTTCTAGAACATGGCCATACAACCCGAAAAACCTACAACAACCCAATTCAGCAGTGGTTCTCAACTGGTGGGTCCCCAGGTGGTAAACTGGGAAATTCCATCCAGTTTACCAGCTGTTAGGATTTCTCGGAGTTGAAGGCCAACACATCTAGGGACCCACAGGTTGAGAACCACTCATTTAGGGCCTTTACAAAGAACAACTCTTGTACTCTTGTATAAGTTGACCTCATGTATAAGTCAATGACAGGTTTGGGAACTAAAATCATGGATTTTGATAAGATTAGTGGACAAATCGAGGGTTATTCCATAGAGAGGGAAATGTTTTAGGAGCTCGGTTCTTCTGGACACTAATTTTCATGTCCAGGTATTTACAGAGGCCAGAAATGATGCCAGAGATAGTAGAGGAGGATGCTGGAGATAGTAGAGGTGGAGATAGTAGAGGGGGTCAGTGCTTATGGGATTTTGGCCTGCATCAATAGAAGTCTAGTGCCTACATCCAGGGAAGTCATGCTCCCCCTCGATTCTGCCTTGGTCAGACCACACCTGGAATCACACCGTGTCCAATTCTGGGTACCACGATTGAAGGGAGATGTTGACAAGCTGGAATGTGTCCAGAGAAGGGTGACTCAAATGATCAAGGGTATGGAGAACAAGCCCTATGAGGAGCAGCTTCAAGAGCTTGGCATGTTTAGCCTGCAGAAGAGAAGGCTGAGAGGAGAAACGATGAGGGCCAGTTTTCCTGCTTCTTGGCAGAATGTAGTTGGACTGGATGGCCCATGAGGTCTTTTCCAACCCTATGATTCTATTTAGTTTCTTCTTGCCTTTGGCCAATCATCTCAGAAAAGAGACAGTTCATTTTTAGATAAACGTTCCTTGGTTCCTTTTTAGATAAGAGTCAACAGTATTCACTATGACCCATGGATAAGTTGACCCTGTTGTTTTCAGTGGAATTTTTGACAAAAATCTCTAGACTTATACATGAGTATATAGCAGTGTTTCTCAACCTGTGGGTCACCAGATGTTTTGGCCTTCAACTCCCAGAAATCCGAGCCAGTTTACCAGCTGTTAGGATTTCTGGGAGTTGAAGGCCAAAACATCTGGGGACCCACATGTTGAGAAACACTGGTATGTGGGTGTTTTTGTTCCATTTCTCCCTATGTTGACATTCATTCTTAGATTGGTGCCTCCACGCTTCCTTGATTTGCTTTTTGTTGAGACCCATTGTGGTTCTCCAACTTGGGTCTCTTAAGGGTTTTGGACTTGTGGTTCTCCAGCTTGGGTCTTCTAAGGGTTCCCTAACTTGGGTCTCCTAAGGGTGGTTCTCCAACTTAGGTCTCCTAAGGGTTTTGGACTTGTGGTTCTCCAGCTTGGGTCTCCTAAGGGTTTTGGACTTGTGGTTCTCCAGCTTGGGTCTCCTAAGGGTTCTCTAACTTGGGTCTCCTAAGGGTGGTTCACCAACTTGGGTCTCCTAAGGGTTTTGGAATTGTGGTTCTCCAACTTGGGTCTTCTAAGGGTTTTGGACTTGTGGTTCTCCAGCTTGGGTCTCCTAAGGGTTTTGGACTTGTGGTTCTCCAACTTGGGTCTCCTAAGAGTTCTCCAACTTGGGTCTCCTAAGAGTTTTGGACCTGTGGTTCTCCAACTTGGGTCTCCTAAGGGTTTTGGACTTCAGTTCCCAGCGTTCCCAACTGTGTTGTCTGAGATTCCAAAATATCTGAAGGACCAAAGCCTGGGGCCTTCAAAGGACTACTTCTTTCCTCCTCCTCTTTGCTTGAATCCCATCCTCCTTCTTGTCGGTCATTGTTGGACAGAGATGGTCCATCGGAGGCAAAACAGCTTGCCACCCCCCATTTGCAGAAAGCAACGAGACGGACCCGGCAAAAATTGGGTGCCGTTCTTCCGAATCTTGTACATAGTGTAGCAAAAGAGTATTTATACATCTCACCAATCGAAACACAGCTTTATTACCTCATGCGAAACTCATAACGAACCAATAGAAACATGTTCTTTAGCTTAGAGTGCTCACTACTACCTCTAAATAAAAACCCAGCTCTTCCCAAACTTGGCAAGGCCAGACTCCAACTCCCATCATCCCTAGACATGGAAGGGATGGGATTTGTAGTTGGCGTGTGCCGGGTTTGGAGAACGGCTGCTCTAAACAATATTCACACTGTAGTTTGTCTCTCTCTCTTTCTCTCTCTCTCTTTGAAATAAATTTTTTAACGAAATCCCGATTTTTCTTTCCCTCTTTTTGGCATCTTGTAATTAACTCTTTTGTCTCCCTTCATGACATGTAATATACATTGTAATCTTTGAAATATTAAATAACGGCAGCCGCGGCGTTTTTAATAATAATGGTAAATAATCATCCGGGTTGCGTTGGCAACTTTTCGAGAGACAATTTCGAAGAAAAAAAAACATGAAAAGAAAAGAAAAAAAAGAAGAAGGCTTCGAAGCGGAAACATGGGGTCTTTTGGGTTCGACACGGAACAGCAGCGAAAACTGTTTGTAAATACAAAGAAAACATTTTGAATGTTCTTCATCTTGTTCCTATACTGATTTCACGCAAAAGAAAAAGAGAAAAAAAATCAAACCAATAACGGATTGTAAAACAGAGAAGTCTCAGTATTCAGTACTGTATATTTCACCCTTGTATAATTGGGGGGCGGGCGGGGCGGGGATCCTAATTTTTCTTTTTCGGTTCCTTTTTTCTTTCCTTTTTCCTTCTCTCTTTTTATATTGTATGCGATTCTGAAACTGATTGACTCAATGAAAAAAAAGAAAAAGAAAGAATAATAATAATTTGTGGCCGTGATTCTAATGTATTAAACCGTTTCGTGTTACTTTCTTAACTGGATTACACCCCCGAATTGAAGAGTCTTCCTCGTGGTAGTTCAATGTAGTTTCGAATCATGAATAAAATTTTTTTTGCTTTCATGACCCAAAATGTGGATGGCATTTTCTTCCCTTGGATCCATCAAAATACAAAATTGTGCATACAAAATTCCGCATGCAAAATTGTGGCTTCCAAACCCATCTTTTTGGATATTGTTGGACTTCAAAACTCAGGGATGATGGGAACTACGATCCTGCAACATCCGCCGGGCCACAAGTCCCCTTCCTGCCATAAAAATAGAGGTTGGCTTACCTACCCTGAGAAACTTTGTGTTTTTGTCTATGGGGGGGGGGGGGGTTGTATCCAGGGGCGGCTTACACAAAGTAAGCATTTGCAGTATAGTTGATTATACCCAGGGGCGCTCTTGAGGCTCTTGGGGGAAAATAGACCTTGACATATGCGAGTTGTAGTTACTGGGATGTATAGTTCACCTACAATCAAAGAGCATTCTGAACTCCACCAATGATGGAATTGAACCAAATATGGGACACAGAACTCCCACGACGAACAGAAAATATATATCAGTGATTGGTTGGGGGGGGGGGACCAAAATACTGTTTGCTTACCATTGAAAATCAGAAGCAACTTGAGGAACTCCAGACCCTCGTATCATTTATTATTATTATTATTATTATTATTATTATTATTATTATTATTATTATTATTATTTTACTGACAGAAAAACACAGTATGTCACAGCAAATGAGATATATATCCTGGATTACGTATCACAAAATCACAAGTCATAGGAGTTCTGTGTGCCAAGTTTGGTTCAATTCAATCATTGGTGGAGTTCAGAATGCTCTTTGATTGCAGGTGAACTACAAATCCCAGCAATTACAACTCCCAAATGTCAAGGTCTATTTCCCCCAAATTCCACCATTTGGGCTTATTGAGGATTCATGCCAAGTTTGGTCCAGATCCATCATTGTTTGATCCATTGTGTTCTCTGGATGTAGGTGAACTACAACTTCCAAATTCAAGGTCAATGCCCATCAAACACTTCCAGTATTTTCTGTTGGTCATGGGAGTTCTGTGTGCCAAGTTTGGTTCAATTCCATCTTTGGTGGAGTTCGGAATGCTCTTTGATTGTAGGTGAACTACAAATCCCAGCAACTACAACTCCCAAATGTCAACTTCTGTTTCCCCCAAATTCCACCATTTGGGCTGATTGAGGATTCATGCCAAGTTTGGTCCAGATCCATCATTGTTTGAGTCTATTGTGTTCTCTGGATGTAGGTGAACTACAACTTCCAAATTCAAGGTCAATGCCCACCAAACCCTTCTAGCATTTTCTGTTGGTCATGGGAGTTCTTTGTGCCAAGTTTGGTTCAATTCAATTGTTGGTGGAGTTCGGAATGCTCTTTGATTGTAGGTGAACTACAAATCCCAGCAACTACAACTCCCAAATGTCAAGGTCTATTTTCCCCAAACTTCACATTTGGGCATGTTGAGGATTCGTACCAAGTTTGGTCCAGATCTAGTATTGCTTGAGTCCATAGTGCTCTCTGTTTTTAGGTGAACTACAACTCCCAAATTCAAGGTCAATGCCCACCAAACCCTTCCAATATTTTCTGTGGTCATGGGAGTTCTTTGTGCCAAGTTTGGTTCAATTCCATTGTTGGTGGAGTTCAGAACAGTAGGACCACAATCAACTCCAATTGGAGGCACCTGCCCTGAGCCTGAGTGCCTGACCTCATGAGCAAAAACACAAAGAAGAGCCATTTTGGAGCCTGAAACAGGAGAGACAGGGCCCATTATGACTTTGTTTTAGAAGAAAAGACCTGGTGGCATCGCAATTTCCAAGCAATTCAGAGGATCTCCAGTCGTCTTGGATGTCTGGCTCCGAAAGGTTGGTTTTACGTGGCATTTGTAGTGATTACAACAAGGTCATAATCCCAAATATGCATTGCAATGACTATACTACTACCAATGTAATTAATATGCTATGGAAAAGATGGGAAATGTAGTCATAAGAGATTTTGGTCCTATATTATGACTTGAGGGACACCCTGGAAAGCTGTGGGTTCAATGGAAAAGAAGGGGAAATTATTATTATTATTATTATTATTATTATTATTATTATTATCTAGCTGTACCTGCCACGCATTGCTGTTGCCAACTCTCCCACCCTATTTCCTTCTTTCCCTCCTTCCTTTGCTCTCCTTCCTTCCCTTTTTTCCTTCCATTCTCTCCTTCCTTCCTTCCTTCCTTTGCTTTTGCTTCCATCTTCCTTCTGTCTTTCCTTCTTTCCTTCCCTTTCTCTTTCTCTCCTTTTTTTCCCTCCTTCCTTCGCTCTCCTTCCTTCCTTCCCTTTTTTCTTTCCTTCTCTCCTTCCTTCCTCCTCTACTCTTTCCTTCCTTCCTTTGCTTTTTGCTTCCATCTTTCCTTCTGTCTTTCCTTCTTTCCTTCCCTTTCTCTTTCTCTCCTTCTTTCCCTCCTTCCGTCCTTCCTTCGCTCCTTCCTTCCTTTCCTCCTCTTTTTTCTTGTTATTCTCTTTCCCTTTCTCTGCCTTTCCTTTCTCTCTTTCCTTCTTGTACCTTCCTTCCATTCCCTTTCCCCCTGTCTTTTCTTTCTCTGTTTCCTTCTTGTACCTTCCCTCCATTCCCTTTCCCGGTTTTTCTTTCTTTCTTTCTTTCTCTTCTCTTTCTTTCTTTCCTTCCTTCCTTCCTTCCTTCCTTCCTTCCTTCCTTCCTTTCTTTCTCTCCTTCCTTTTCTACCTCATTTCTTCCCCTTTCCTTTCCTTTTTTCTTTTCTCCTTCTTTCTCCTCTTCCCTCTCTACCTCTTTCCTTCCTTCCTTTGCTCTTTTTGCTTCCATCTTTCTTTTTCTTTCCTTCCCTCCCTCTTTCTCTCTTTCTTTCCCTTCTTTCTTCCTTCCTCCCTCTTTCCTTCCTTTTTTTCTTCTTTCCTTTCTCCTTCCTTCCTTCTCTTCTCTTCCCCTCTCTTCTTTCCTTCCCCCCTTTTTCCTTTTTTCCTCTCCCTCTTTTTCTATCCGTTTCTTTTCTTCCTCTTCCCTTTCCTCAGCCTTTAACCATACCTCATTTCTTCCTCTTTTTGCTCGTTTTTTATCTCTTTTGTTGTACCCTCGTTTACCCTTCAATGCTTCCTTATTTCCCTTCTGCTTACCTCTGTTTTTTTCTTTTTTCTTTCTTTACTCTTTTTTTCCTTCTTTGCCTTTTCCCCACTTTTCCTGTATATAGTCAAATTTACCCTCCTTCCCTTCCTCCCCCTCGATTCTACCATGTATTCTTCCTTTTACCATTACTCAGAGGGCCCAAGCTTCCCCACGCCTGGTATATACCCTATTTACATCATCTCCTACTAGATATTGTTACCGTATGCTTTTAAAAGGGGGGCAGCTCTAGTCACAACAACAATCATCTTTCCCTCCACTCCTGTGTTGCCGAGTGGTTTATAATGCACTGATCCATTCTGATTCCTTGTTGAACGTGATCCAAAGTTATCGCTAATGTTTTTTCGATTGAATGTTTCCGGTTGAGCCGGCTAGCTTCTGTCAACCTAGCAGTTCAAAAACATGCAAATGTGAGTAGATCAATAGATTCTGCTTCTGTGGGAAGGTAACAATGCTCCATGCAGTCATGCTGGCCACATTACCTTGGATGTGTCTACGGACAATGCCAACTCTTTGACTTAGAAATGGAGATGAGCACCACCCCTCAGAGTTGGACTCGACTAGACTTAATGTCAATGGAAAACCTTTACCTTTACGGTGTAGTTTGATTTATTGTTATGTTACACGTATATCTGTCCCCTGCTTAGTTGTCTTATATTTCTCATGGATTATCACTGGAAATCAAGAAATCATGAAGAAAGTGTTTGGGTTTATAAATTTATGATACTATATCTGTCATATACATATAGTGTATGTGTGTAATCATATCTATCTATATCTATGGCTGGATGGCTCTTTGTCAGGAGGGCTTTGATTATGTTTTCTTGCCCTGGTGAAAGGAGTTGGACTGGATGGCCTTAAGTATTTTCTTTTGGTCATGGGGGTTCTGTGTGGGAAGTTTGCCCCAATTCTGTCATTGGTGGGTTCAGAATGCTCTTTGATTGTAGGTGAACTATAAATCCCAGTAAGTACAAATCCCAAATGTCAAGGTCTATTTCCTCCAAACTCCATCTGTGTTCATATTTAGGCATATGGAATTTTTGTGTCAAGTTTGGTCCAGATCCATCATTGTTTGAGTCCACAGTGCTCTCTGGATGTAGGTGAACTACAACTCCCAAACTCAAGGTCAATGCCCACCAAACCCTTCCAGTGTGTTCTGTTGGTCATGGAAGTCCTGTATGCCATGTTTGGTTCAATTCCATCATTGGTGGAGTTCAGAATGCTCTTTGATTGTAGGTGAACTATAAATCCCAGAAACTACAACTCCCAAATGTCAAGGTCTATTTCCCCCAAACTCCATCTGTGTTCATATTTGGGCATATGGAATATTCGTGCCAAGTTTGGTCCAGATCCATCATTGTTTGAGTCCACAGTGCTCTCTGGATATGGGTGAACTACAATTCCCAAACTCAAGGTCAATGTCCACCAAACCTTTCCAGTTTTTTTCTGTTGGTCATGGGAGCCCTGTGTGCTAAGTCTGGCCCAATTCCATCATTGGTGGAGGTAAGAATGCTCTTTGATTGTAGGTAAACTATAAATCCCAGCAACGACAATTCCCAAATGACAAAATCAATTTTTTTGAGTGGAGGACATACATTGGACTGTTAGGTGTCTTGTGCCCAAATTTGGTGTCAATTCCCCCAGTGGTTTTTGAGTTCTGATGGTAGCACGAACTAACATTACATTTTTATTTATATAGATAGATGTAATATTACTAATAATATTACAATATAACAGTATAGTACAATGTAGTAATATATAATACTGATATTGTGCTATGCTAATAATATAATATATTGTATGTGTGTGTGTGTGTGTGTATATATACACAATAATAAAACAGTATATCATTATTATTATATTTTATCAGTAGTATTTTATTTAATATATTAGTAATTTATTGTTACATTGTATTAT